CCCTGGAGGAGGCAGCCCGGGGTCCCATCCTCGTGGACACCGGGGGCCCCTGGGCTCGGGAGAGACTCCTGGAGGCCCTGGCGGGGCAGGGCGTGGCCCCCGTAGACGTGACTCTGGTGGTGGGAACCCACGGACACTCGGATCACATCGGGAACCTGGGGCTGTTCCCAAGGGCCGCTCTGTTAGTCTCGCACGACTTCTGCCTCCCCGGGGGCTGCTTCCTTCCCCACGGGCTCGGGGAGGAGCGGCCCCTGCGGCTGGGGCCGGGGCTCGAGGTGTGGGCCACGCCGGGCCACGGGGGCCAGCGGGACGTGAGCGTGGTGGTGGCGGGCACGGCCCTGGGCACCGTGGCCGTGGTGGGCGACGTGTTCGAACGCGATGGGGACGAGGGCTTCTGGCAGGCCCTGAGCGAAGACCCGGTGGCTCAGGAGCGGAGCCGGAAGAGGGTCCTGGGCACAGCCGACGTGGTCGTGCCCGGCCACGGAGCCCCCTTCCTGGTGGTCAGGGAGGCCTGGAATCCAGAAGCAGAGGGCCCTGAGGCCAGAGACGAGGAGCCCCAGGAGACACCGGACGCCTGTGAGGGCGGCCCTCCCGCCCCAGCCCCCAGCCTGGGAACTGAAGTCTAGGTTGAGAGAGGACCAGTCAGCCAGAGTCGGAGGGGCCAGGTGGTCACTCCCAGCGAGGACAGAGCGCTTCTGCCACCGCTGTCACCAATATCACCATTTTAGCAGCCAAACTCGGACCAAGGATGGACCAGCTGTGTGCCACCTCTGAGGGTTTCATTAACAAAATGGGAGACGATTGGGAGAGTTGTCCCAAATAAAAATTGGAAACTACGTTGAAAATCATAGTGCCTTAATGTAAATAAAAATTGGAAACTACTTTGAAAATCATAGTGCCTTAATGTAAATGTAAGGAGATGAAGTATTAACAGTGACAGTTACGCAAGTGTAATCAACAGCAAACAGGGGACACCTTTTGGCTAGTTGCTTATTTCTCAAGAGGTTGCAGGTCGCTGAGAGAAGGTGCAGGGCATGGAAGTAACACCACAGTCATCTGACTTATTCATGAATTTATTCAATGAATAGTTATTTACCTCCTGCTATGTCTCAAGCACCGGGATACAACAGTGAACGAGTCAGGCAAACTCCCTGTCCCTCATGGATATTACATTCTATTGAAACGGACAAGCAAACAACAATAATAGTACTAAATCAAATGACTACAGGTTGTGGTTAGTGATAGGAGAAAAAATCAGGCTGAGAAGGGGATACGGTTCTGAGGGGTGGGTAGTCAGGGAAAGCCTCTGAGGAGATGATGTTTGATCAGAGAACAGAATGAGGAGAAAGCTGGACCTCTTGATCTGCTTGAGCAGCAGGGATCCACGGAGTTGGAAGAGTGGCGATAAATGAAACTGCAGAGTTACTGAGATTGAAGCCTTGGCTTTTGAGCAGGCCAATGACCTGGGCTCGTTTATGTTTTAAAACAATCACTCTTGTTCTGAATGGAAAGGGGGTTAGAGTGGAGCAAGGATTGAACTGGCTGTGGTTGGGAAGCTTTTGCAGTCTTCCAGGCAAGAGAAGTTGATGGCACCTGGCCCATATCCCAGAAGTCCTGTTAGGGCTGTGGTCCTCTTCACAACTGCCCCAGTCCCCTTGCCCTCTATCCACAGGTGTGGCAGATGGAGAGGAGGAAGTCCACCTTGTGGATGATGAGCCTCCCTGGGTGGATGCAATCAGGCAGGGCCAAACTGGAGGTCATTTCCCAGGTGTCTACAAAGGCCACGCAGAGGTCAGCAAAGACAGCTCAGAGAAGCCAGTTCACCTGGAGAGTGAACCAGTCATAGCCATACATGGACTTGTAGGGTGTTGACCAGCTTGATGACCACAAGAGTGCAATCACAGCGGCCCAGATCCTGTCAGTCATCAGATAAAGATGGCCCCAGGAAAGGTGGTAAAGTAGACCCCAGCACTACCACAGTGTGGGGGTCCTGGCCAGGTCCTGGACCATGGAGTGCAGGGAAGCCACTGGTGTGTAAAGGGTGTGCAGGGACCGCTGTAGGCCTTCTAATGCAGCACTATGCTCTGGGTGGTCTCCATAGCCATCAGGGACCCTGTCTAACATGTGGCATGTAGGTAGATCCTCTGGTTTCAGGACTGTGGGGAACTCAGGGGTTATTTAGAGCTATGCACTCCTACCTTGGACAAACATAAATTCCTGCCCTCACTTTCCAGAACATAGGTATTCTGTTCATTACTCAGGCCTGGTCATTCGGGGCAACACATCACTTTGGCCACACTGATTGTCTTCAGGATGGACAGGTCACCTAAACAAGTCTATTCTCGGTAATATTAAGGTTTTCGCTAGAGCTAGTGGAAAAGTCTAGTTTTTTCTACAAGACTGACATAGGAAGATGCGTCATCTTGTCATTTGTCCAGACAGCCCACTGCTGCTGGGGCCACCAAATGGAGACTAAAAATGAAGCTAATCAGTAGGGGCAGAGTGAGCAGTTAAGAGAAACAGACCTGATGACAAGTTTGAGTGCTGAAAGTCAGATCCTCTGCCTCGAACTCATCAGTCACCTGGGCTGACTAATCAACTCCTTTCCTGCCAAAGCTTCTTTGACTGTTTTCAGTTGCTTGCAGCAAGAGGAGTTCTGAATGGATACAGACACGGGTGAAATGAGCCATTACAGGCAGTGAGGATTGTGTGGAGAGAGGGTTAACACAGGGAAAGCAGTGCTTAAGATATTAGGAAGTTGGGCCCAGAGTGTACGCTTAGAAGTTTCTCTAAAGCTTCCTTTTTGTGAAAACTCTCAGGAACACTTGACCTATATGATTAGATTCCTCTGCTCATAAATATTCAATGGCTCCACATCACCTGCAGGACAATCCAAACTTTCTCTTCTGGTCCTTTTCAAGTCAAAGTTTGTCCAGTTTGGCTAGACTGCCTACTTCCTTCCAGACAAGCCCACATCCCCTTTTTCTCCTGCAGGCTTTTGATTTTGTTCTTTCCCTGTTGTCTTCCCTCTCTTCTCTACTTTCCAGGATCAACTCAGGTCACCTACAGAAACTCTCCCTGATGTTCCCAACCCTACTTTAAACTCTTGTAATGCAGTCTCTATATTATTCACTTAGCCTGGTGTTGGTCATTTTTTTCTGGAAATGTCCTCTCCCCATGGTTCCTCTTGAGAGCAGAAACTACGCAAGATACTTCTTTGAATGCTACAGAGCTCAGTATTCTGTCTATAAATGCTATGAAATAAATACATGCTATTTTTCTGATCTACCTGGCTAGCTGTTACCTGTTGCCCAGCTCTAACTCCTTGTCTAGGATTCAGATGTCAATCCCTGCCCAGCCTCTGAGAAGTTCCAACATCATGTCCACTTACACAAACAAGGGGGTGTCTCTCAAAGCCCTCCCTATTCACCTTTCTTCACAAGGCTCCAGGCTTCTTGCCATCTCCTGTCATGGCCATTCACGGCAGTGACACACAGATACTCCGTCACTGCCAGGGGATGGAGTCCCTCATCATGTGGGTGACATGGCCCATTAGGCAGCCCAAGATTCTATCAACAGTGCAGAGGGAACATCCGGAGCAGGACACCAAGTGCCATATCTCAGTGGTAGAAGCCAGAGAGTTTGGGAGCTAGAAGTCCAGCATGGTATGGGAGTCATGAGAAGAAGAATATAACAGGCTAACTACTAAAAAGCTAATGTTTTTTGAGGGTTTACTCTGTGTCACATGCATGTACTATAACCATCCTCTTAAAATAGGGAAGTTAAGTGAAGTGAGTTGGTAAATGTCAGAGCAAGCATGTGAATGAAGGCTTCCAGACTCCAATGCCCATTCCTTAATTACTCTACAGAGAGGTTAATCCCAGGTTATGGACATAACTCTCTAGGTCAGCTAGCCTCTACTCCAAACTATCCCAGATGCACTCATTCCAGCTGTTCCTTCTCTTGGCTGCTATTTGGCTGTGCGTCAGAGAAAGACCCTGAAGGAGAGCTTTGTTGGTCACATTCTTGGAGAGACAAATGTCTGTGATAAGAATGAAGGCATACTGAGGGCTAAAGCTTGATTTTAGGTAGGAGACTATTCATAATTTTAACTATGTCTATTTTCAAAAAGGATTCAAAGTGGCTACCATAGATGTATGTATACAATATATATATATATATATATGCCTAATATGCTAATTGTCCCTCCAAATGTTCGACTGTTCGATCAGTTGCTATGATGCACACTGACCACCAGGGGGTAAACGCTTTGACCAGTTGGTTAGCTTGCTGCTGGGGTCGGGCTGATCAGGACTGGGTGAGATGGGTCCCAATTGTGCACCAGGACACCTCAGGAGATGTTGGAGAGCTGTTTTAGCTCAATCCCCACAGGCCAGACCGAGGGACCCCAGTGCACGAATCTGTGCACTGGGCCTCTAGTATAGTATCCTTTATAATAAAAGGATAATATGCAAATCAACTTAATGGCAGAATGACCAGTTACTATGATGCACACCAACCACCAGGGGGCAGATGTTCATTGTAGGAGCTTCCCTCTGGTGGTCAGTGTGCTCCCACAGGGGGAGTACTACTTAGCCAGAAGCCGGGCTCATGGCTGGCAAGTGCAGCAGTGGGGGTGGTGGGAGCCTCTCCTGCTTCCGCAGCAGTGCTAAGGATGTCCGACTGCTGTGGGGAGTGGGCCTAAGCCATCAGTTGGACATCCCCTGAGGGCTCCTGGACTGTGAGAGGGCACAGGCCTGGCTGAGGAACTCCCTTCCCCCTGCCCCAGTGCACGAATTTTGTGCATCGGGCCTCTAGTAATGAACATAAAGATAAAAAGGAAGTTAGAAACCAGGTAGAAGGTGAAGATAACTTTATCAGGAACTTGAAAATTCTATCAGGATACTTCCTGAAACTGAACACTGCATTCACTATCTCAGTCTCGCTTCCACTCTAACCACTCCACTAAAATGGTTCTCAATGACATTACTCATGAATGTCATAATTGACAACTCCAAACTTCCTAGCAACACACACACACACACACACACAGACACTGGATTTTGTATTTTTCCTTTTGTAGTAATACAAAATATAAGAGCTTGTTTGGAGAGAAATTTTTTCTTGTGTTTACATTCCAAAAGGATCAAGGAGTGGATGAAAACTTAGACAAAAGCATGTTTGGAAACAACCAGAGAGTTATGAATATGCTTTAAAAATCTTCTAAAGAATGAATGAATTAGCTTTTATTGTACAACAAACCACCCCAAAAAGTAATGGCTTAAAACCACGAAGATTATTTCTTACAATTCCATGAGTCATCTGGACTGCCTTGGCCGGAGCTGAATGATCCAGGGTAGCCTCATCACTCATCAGTGCTTCAGCTGGAATGGGTGGATGGTGGCGCCTCTCTCTCTATGGTTTCTCAATCTCTGATGGCCAGCCCAGGCTTGCTCAAAGGGTGGAAGAGGGATTCCCAGTGTTAGGGCAGAAGCTCCAAGGCCACTTGCAGTTCGGGTTGAGGTTTGAAATTGCACAATATTGCTTTACATCACCTTCAAAGCAAGTTATAAGGCAGGGATGAGGAAATATCCTCCACTTCCTGATAGAAGAAGCTGCAAAGAATTCCTGACTTTTTTGTTGTTGTTGTAAATGTACTACGATAGGTGTGCGCATGAATTGGTGAGGCTAAAAGTTCACCAACTTCATTGTTTGGTTAAGTCCTTTTTATACTTTCTGCCTTTCCCACAAGCAGCTGCTAATCACACCACACCATTCCCTCTTCACTCCCAGAAGGGGGCAGCATTTATTCACAGAGAAAGCAAAGACCATTGTTCAGCTATCTCTGTTTCAAGATGCCTTACCTGAGAACTCATCAGCAT